CCTGCCAGTGCAGTCGCTTCGGTGCGTGCGAACACCTCGCAACGGCACGTACCGCGTTGAGAATATCCGGGCGAGTGTGATTCGCCAGCCACATCAAGTGTCCCACCAGCGACCGGAAAGGCTCGTCGACATCGGGCTCATCGGCGTCGTACTGCTCAAGCGTCAACCCAACGACCATGGGTGTCTCTTTGTCCGTCGTCACATCGAACTTGGCAACGACCTTCTCCGCTACAGCCTGCTGCGAAATATTCACCGTCCCCAACACCGTGTCACGAGAAAACCGGCAACCCGCATACCAGCGCAGTTCCCCAAGGTTGGAGATGGGCACATACCGGTTGAGGTCAACACCAAACTGATCGCACCTGCTGTTGAGCCCGATAGAAAATATGTCGTCTACGTGGATCACGACCACCATGGTGACTACACCGCTCTCGATCAGACGCATCACACACGCATCGGCGGCACAAGGCTCGAAACCAAGACTCTTCATGCCACGCATCAAGTGATGATGCCATGTGCGGGACGCCTGCTTCAGACCGTATAGGCTCCGTCTCAACCGCACGACCTTACCGGAAAGCGCACCGCACCCAGGGGGAAGACGAATGAACACAACCTCNGGACGCCTGCTTCAGACCGGAAAGACTCCGTCTCAACCGTACGACCTTACCGGAAAGCGCACCGCATCCAGGGGGAAGACGCATGAACACAACCTCATCCAGAGTTCTGATTGGACGAAGGCTTGCTCGGCATCAAATTGGCACAAGTCGCAACCCAACACACAGGCAATGGCGGCTAGCAATCGAATGCTCGTGATGGAAGGACACGGGGACAAGGTCTCAAAGAAGTCAACACCCTCACGCTGCGCAAACCCACGGGCTACCAACCTAGCCTTACACCCACAGCATACCCAAACTCGTGTCCCTTCCATGAATACACCCACTTGGCGGAGATGACGTTCGTCCCTCGTTGCTATTCCGCCCTGACCTCCTCGAAGGTGCCCGCTGCATTCAACCCGAAAAACTCCTTGCGTTCGGCGATGGTCCAGATGTGGTAGATGTGGTGGTGTGGCCCCGCGTGCGCCTCCCCATATGTCTCAGGCGTCTCCAGATCGCACACCAGCCCCGTCGGCAGGGCTGGCTCAGCCACACCCGGTGCAGGAAGCTCGGCGATGGACCGCTTGATCTCGTCCTCCGTGGCTAGAAGAGCAAATATCCCCGGCCCTGACCCATCTCGCTTCGCCCGCGACCTCGTCACTGCGGGGGTCGCTACGAACTCCCGCTGCACCTGCCGACGCCCGCCTGTACCGCCCTCATGCACCATCTCCGTCCACAGTCCGTCCGATGCCAGCGGCGCCGCCGCCGAGTGCGCGGGGGCAGGTGTGGCAACAGGTGCCGCAGGGGTGCTCACCCGCGAAGGCCCCCCCGCCATCCGCGCAAGTTCCGCAAACACCGCGCTGCGCGCTGCTCCGCTCTCCACCATGCTCTCCGCTCCGTCATATGCTCATGCTGCCGCTGCTCCGTCGCCACCGAAGTTTCCGCCGATGCTACCGCTCCTGCCGCCGCTGCGGGGACCCCGGCCATCCTCCCCGCCGCTGCCGCGAGGGGAACACTGCCGCCAGAGGTCGCCGCCGTCGCCGCCGGAGCTGCCGCCGATGCCGCCGCTCCGGTCGCCACCGCGGGGCCTCCGGCCATCCCCCCCGCCGCCGCCGCGGGGGGAACACTGCCACCGAAGGTCGCAGCCGTCGCCGCTGGAGCTGCCGCCGATGCCGCCGCTCCGGCCGCCACCGCGGGCCCTCTGGCGATCCCTCTTCCGACCCCCAAGAACGCCCATCTCCTTGAAGGCCCTGGCTGCTGAAGCCGAAGGTGCAGTGTTCGGGGTAGGTGGGCACCCCAGCCGGCGTGATGATCTTGTGTGTCGTAGAGGAATGATCCTGGCCTGAGTTCAGATAGAAGCACCGCTCCCCCTTGCTGTGCATCTTGGACGGGCGGTGACGGTGACGGAAGCCGGGCATCATGAACGGCAGAAGCACTCGGATCCTCCTCCTGCCGTACAGCTTAACTTCCGGGCACCGCTTGTCTTCCTTGCTCACCTCCGCTGCGATGTTCAGAGAGTCGTTCATCCACGCGAAGGCCTCGGGCCAGATGGCCCGGAAGGACAGCGCCTTGGTCGGGAACATAACTCCGGGGAAAAGCTTCGGGAACTCCAGAAACGCAGCCTTGNGCGCTGTGATGTTCAGAGAGTCGTTTATCCACGCGAAGGCCTCGGGCCAGATGGCCCNATGTGCATCTCGGACGGGTGGTGACGGTGACAGAAGCCGGGCATCATGAAGGGCAGAAGCACTCGGATCTTCCTCCTGCCGTACAGCTTAACTTCCGGGCACCGCTTGTCTTCCTTGCTCACCTCCGCTGCGATGTTCAGAGAGTCGTTCATCCACGCGAAGGCCTCGGGCCAGATGGCCCGGAAGGACAGCGCCTTGGTCGGGAACATAACTCCGGGGAAAAGCTTCGGGAACTCCAGAAACGCAGCCTTGCCCCCCTCCATCACTAGTGCAATCCTCCGCTCCACACGACCGTTGCTCTTGGGCCCGTCGACCGCCGTGAGCTCCCGCGTAATGTTCAGCTCCGCCAGCAGGCCCCGAAACTCCGCGTTGACCCACTCGGTGCCGTTGTCGGTCAGAACGCAGCCCAGCCCCCCGTGAGTAGCCAAGAGCGATTTGATGGAGGCATACCACGCACGAAAGGCCGCAACCACGTTTGTACTGCTCTTCTCCCGCAGAAAGCAAATCCATCCGTAGTTGGTATGGTGGTCCAGGATCTGCATCACGTACTTGGCACCGCCGCTGGATTGGCCGAACGGNGAACACAGCCCAGCCCCCCGTGAGTAGCCAAGAGCGATTTGATGGAGGCATACCACGCACGAAAGGGCGCCACCACGTTTGTACCGCTCTTCCCCCGCAGAAAGCAAATCCATCCGTAGTTGGTATGGTGGTCCAGGATCTGCATCACGTACTTGGCACCGCCGCTGGATTGGCCGAACGGACCGGCTAGGTCCATGGCGACACGCTCAAGAGACCACGACGTCCGGCGGGAGGGGGAGATGACCTTGGGGACCGAGCGCTGGATCGCCTTCGACTCCGCACATCCACCGCCGTACTCCGGATTGCCGGTCACGTTGATACCCATCTGCTTGGCAGGCTCGTACAGCGTCTTGGAATTGGCATGACCGAGGGAGCAGTGAAGAGCGTTGTAGCCGATGCTGGATTGCGTGCCAGGCCGTAGCATCGCCGCAACCATCGCGGGGGGCTGAGGAGGTGAGTCGCGTTGAGGCAGTGGATCAACGCGAGTCCCCTGGATGTAATTCCCGTGAGGGAATTTTGTCATGCGCACTCGCCCCCCCAAGATCGATGCTCCATGCCGGTTAAGCTTGATCTCATGGCGATCCTGGATCTTGTTCAGCNCAGCCCCCCCAAGATCGACGCTCCATGCCGGTTAAGGTTGATCTCATAGCGATCCTGGATGTTGTTCAGCGACAGAATATCTAGCGCCAAACCCGGTACCACACCAACATTCTGCAGGGTGACGCGCACGTCCTCAGGGCAGTGGAAGATCACATCCAAGTCACCGAAAAACTCTACCGGGATGTGCTTACCGTCGCCAAGCATGAGTAGTCGCTCCTCCGGGAGCGGCGGGCGCCTGTTGTACACCTTTTCCCCAGAAGGGACCACGTGGACTACGGCGCCGGTGTCTCCAAGGAAGACCGTCGAACCCGGGCGATGTGGGAAAAGGTCGGATGGTTCGCGCACGGGNCCGCCTGTTGTACACCTTTTTCCAGAAGGGACCACGTGGACTACGGCGGCGGTGTCTCCAAGGAAGACCGTCGAACCCCGGCGATGTGGGAAAAGGTCGGATGTTTCGCGCACGGGGGGGGATGAGGTAACGGAACAGACAAGGTGCATCGCGAAGAGACCGCCACCGAAGGTACCCTCGCCGTTGCCAAGCGCCTC